CAGGGCCCCTGCTCAGAGGTGGTGCTCCTGCTGATCTTGGAGAAGAGTTCTTCTCTCTGGGTCTCCATCCTCCCCTTTCATCGTAGTGTGAAGGGTTGCATGTCTCCTTGAACTTCATGGTTGAACAGAAGTTCAGCCTCCAAGCCACTCAGCTCCTGGCCCAGCCCCTGGCTGGCACCTGCCTGATTACCACCTGCTCCGAGTTCACCGTGCGTTGAAAAATATCCTCAATGTGGCCGCCAGGGGGCAGCCACACCCAGAAGTCCTCCTATGCACAGGTACAGGGACATACAAAATCCAGCATTTTTGGAAATAATCTGATATATTCAGCTACTGCTTTACTGACCTCAGATCTACACACTGACCAATGCACTGAGGGCCCAATTGCTCTAAATCTTTCTCGTATTTAGATTTGCTTTATATATCCAATGACTGCATGCTTAAAGAATTTACCAGTCCTTTCCAATCTATTTGGCCAGTGTACTTTCCTTGGTTCTCAAGCCCTCTTAGATTTTGCTTATCTCCCTCAGCCTGATTTACAATTTATGCCTTACGTGTGCCCAAAGAGAAGCCACCCGCTGATGTGGGTTTAAGATAGCACTCACATGGCTTTGCCTAGTGATTCAAAGATTATGGAATCCGTAACATTCCTCTTGGCCAGCTGATCTCTAACTCTTATAGTGGCTCATATCGAATTGTGAGTGTTCTGAGGGGACCTAAGCTCAAAGGTAAGGCCAGAGGCAGCATTTCAAATCACATCCTTTCTACTTGTAACTGCTTCTTTGTGGCTCCATCTGCTCCTCCAGTTTTTGAGTGACTTGGTTCACATGTTAGATTACTCTGTCTCTAAACAGACACCTGGATGTGCAGCACAGATGATTTTAGGATCATTTTTGAGAATAAACTGCCTGATATCTCATTTAAAATTTATTGGCTTGAATAAAGTCAACAAACTCAAGTCTCTTTCCCTGTAACGTTCACAAGTCTTTGCTCTTGCGGCCAAGAGCGATTAGCTTTCCATGCACTGTCCTGCCGGTCCTTTCTGCACCCAGGAGTCCTTGGCTGATGAGGCACGTGGAGGAGGGTGAGGGCTGGAATTAAGGAAGCAGAGAGTAAGCCAGCTTTCTGCTTAAAGCAACCAGTGACCTTGGATGTGTCCTTGAACCTTGCCCAGCATCTGTTTTCCCCACCAGTGTTTGGCTGACCTTCACAGAGCTCTTCAAAGCCAGCTCTCCAGGGAATTGCAGGCCACATATCTATTCTAGAGAAGTTTAAAGCCGCTCCTGCAGTCAGGCCACGGTGCCCCAGCAGAGGGGGGAGAGGTGTTCTTCTTGATGGCTAGTTCATGCCAATCCATGGCAGTCCTGGCTCCCGTGGGAAGGCCAGAAACCCAATTCATCTGCATACAGAGTGGACCCACCTCTTCAGGACCGATTCCAGATGAGACTCTACAGGAGCAAAATCAGAGTTGTAATGTCCTCACCTATGGTGACAACGAGGGGCCTGATATCTGAATGAGAGACTCTCATGGTATCAGATGAGGACAACCTGATAAGGGATTTCATTAGGGGGCTGTGACCAGAGGTCCCTGGCCAAAGACATGCTTGGGGAAGTGCCTACTACCACCATGGCTGGGCAGGGTCCCTTCTCTGATTCTGCTCTTGTTTTCTGTATTAGTCTGTTTTCTGTTGCTATAACAAAATACCTGAAGTTGGGTAACATAAGAGACTTATGTAACTCAGTTTTGGAGGCTGAAAGTCCCAAGATCAAGTGGCCTCCTCTGTGTGGCTTCTGGTGGAGGACCCCTTGGCTGTGTCACCTGGTGGGTGGCATTATGCCAGTAGTGCAGTACAGCAGGAGAGATCACCCACCAATCTTGGTCCTTTGTAACATGCCTTCTTGTGGGAACTAACTAGTTCCCCTGAGAACTACATCAGTCCTTCTGAAGACAGTGTCTCCAGTGAGCTAACCAACCCTCTTCTTCACCAACCACCACACCGAGGACATGGCTTCCAACACTCCAACACTTGGAGGAAACATCACCTCCAAACCACAGCACTTTTTACCTGGAGGGCCCCAGGGCTGGCTGGGTGCTGTTCTTTCTCTTTGAAACACATCATTAATCAGCGATTTAGGGGCAGAATTTAGGTTAAGGTCATTTTTTCTTTTTTGGCTCACATGGTTTTAAAAATTAACTGCCAATAGGTAAAAATCAGATTTCATAGCCTCCCTTACAAAATGGGCACTCTCCCGTTGGCCATGGTCCCCTCTGGGGCTTAACTTCTGTGCCTTCTAACGAGGGGGGACGTTTCTCTGTGTGCTGTGGACAGAGTGTTCTACCCACAGGTGACCTCAAGACTTTGGGGCTACTCTCTCAGAGCCCCCCAAGAACTGTTACCATCTTCTAAAAGCATCAGACAGATATTAAAAGAACACACAGAAGATCATGATGAAAGACTTTAATTTCTTTTTCAAAATCGTATTAATACAGCACAAAACCACGGTCATCCTATCCAATGGACCCGTGAAATATTACATGCAAAATAGTCATTGAGATTTCATTAAAATCACTCAGAACAGCACCTGGCACACGGCAAGCACTTGATGTACGTGAATACAAATTTAAAATGTAAGCATTTGAAATGTGGCTCAATTCACCCCTGCCCCCCCACACACACCTTTCCCCCTCCCTGTGTAAGCTCAGCGGGGAGAGGAGGGAGACGGAGTTAAGGGGTGTGTGGTCAGGGGAGTGGGTGTGATGCCTGGAAGAACTAAAGCCCCCAGGTCTCCCCTGTCTTGAAAGGCCCAGGAATCCCAGTGGGGACGTGAACTGGTGACACGGAGTGTCTGTACATCTGTACTATCAAGGGCTCACGCTGCCAGTCACAAGTGTTCTGGGACCCTCTCCAAACTCCGTTCCTTCTGTCTGGGCAACACGAATCCATCTGAACCAGGGTCTGGCTCACACAGGGGCCATGAGCTGCCAGCAGCCGTAGCTGGGCTCCAGTGGCCCAGAGCCCCCAGAGGACAGCAGGCCAAATGTCGCGTCCCTGTGCGTTTGGGGTTGGGGAGGATCCTGGCTTCACTCAGGATTCTGAAAGACTCTGGGACCCAAAGATTCACACATCCAAGGACGGTAGTAACTCAGACTGACCCAGGACAGGGTTCTGCCCCCGGGGGTGGGGGGGTGCCCCAGGCACTCACAGGGGAGTCCTGTTGATTATGTGCCACAAGGACTGGAACTAGGCAGGGCCACATTTGTCTGAGGATGGTCGCTCATGCTTATGTGCTGCTTCTCGTTTGTTACATCCGGGTTTTTTAAAATTATGTTTTACTTAAATGTTCCATAGTCTCCAGGAAAGCCGAGGCAGGGGAGACTTCAGGATGTCACAGGGCAGAGGACCCCATGCTACAGCTGGAGAAGGCTGACCCCCAGGACACTGCTTCCTCTGTGACTTTCTGAGGAAGATGGCACTAGTGGAGGCCTAGCAGGTACACCCCCTCCATCCATCCCTACCCCAGCTCTTGTCTGCAAGGAAGGGTGTGAGGGTGGCCCTGTCCCTGGGGAGGGGAGGGAGGTGCAGCCCAAGTTGCCTAGGGCTGCAATAACCAAGTGCCCCAAGCTGGGGGCTGGACAGACAGGCAGGGTCTACCTCAAGCTCTGGAAGATTGAAATTGAAGTGTGGGCAGGGCCGGGCGTCCAGTGACACCTGTAGGGGGGGTTCTTCCTTGTCCCTCCCCAGCTCTGTCAAGGCCATCCATCCTTGGTGGTCCTTGGCCTTTAGCTGCACGGTTCCAATCTCTGCCTCTGTCACCCCATGGCATTCTCACTGGGTCTATCCAGGTTTCCCTCTTCTGAGAACTCCAGTCATATTGGATTAGGACCCACTCCAATGACCTCATCTTTCCAAAGGTCACCTTCACAGGTGGGGGGGGGGAGTAGGACACCAGTATATCTTTTGGGAGGCCACAAAACAGTCAGTTCATCACCAATGCTCCTGCCACCTCCGCCCATGTGTTGCAGTGCCCACACCCACTCCTCCCCCCTAGGCTCCTCGGGGTGGGGGACACCTCTCCATCCAACTGAGCACCTTCCCCTTGGTATATATTCTGAAGGGGGCATTTTTTCTCCTCTCTCTCAGTCCTATAGGAAGCAGGTTTCCTTCCAGACTGAGACATGTGCATGGGAAACGTGTGTCTGCGTCTGTGACACTGTGTGCCGTGTCTGTGTTTTGGGGAGGGGCACTTGGAGGGCGGATGGGTGGAGGGGAGAAGTGGGAGATGAGAGGGTCATAGGAGGATAGAGCCACAGTCGTGAGCCCAAAAGTGACAGAAACAGAAGGAAACTGAGCTGTGACAAACACAGGAACATGGCGCCCTTGGCGGCAGCCCTGTGAGGTGGGGCATGAGGGGGACACTGACTCTGTGCTTCAACAAGACCCACGTGGCCCAGGCTGAAGGGGGAGTAGAGTTAAGTTCTTTTCGATGAACACCGATTAGAGGGTGGCTCAGGAGGGTGGGAGCTCCTGCTTCAGGGCCAGGCCCAGGCCCCAGACCCTTCTTCCGCCCTCTGAGAGTAGCCTGTTCTTCCCAGACAAAGCTGCTCAACACCTGTCCATGTCCCAGTTGCTGAGAAGGGGGACAAGGACAGTGGAGGGCATGTCTTTCCTTTCCAAGAATTACCTGGAAACTGCACGCATCACCTCCCCTTCTCCAGGCCAGATGGAGTCATGTGACCTTGCCAGCAGCCTGGGCCTGTGGGACCAGCCGCCCACACCCCTGGAAGGACGCTGTGTCAGGGATTCTGCAGGATTCGACAAGGCAGCCAGGATTCTGGGGAATAATTGACGGTCTATTTCGATTTTAGAAAAAAGAGTGTCATTAATCCACCCTGCACCCCTAAAAGAGCAAAAGAAATCCAATGGCACCCAGACAAAAAGGAATATGAGAAAACTCAGATTGTCGTGGGGGCTTGTCCCGCGCTAATGAGGCTGTGGGGCTCACGGGGAAGGCGGCAGCCCAGGCAGGTGTGCGTTGGGCTGCTCCACGGCCAGCTGGTTCTCGACGACGTAACACGCTCTGCAGCTCTCCAGAACCCGGGCCTGGAAGAGGGCCTTGTCCTTCTCCTGCCAGGAGTCCGACTCGATGTACACGTTGAACGGGTCGTGTGAGTGCTCCAGTTTCTTGGAGCGGATGTAGCTCAGCATGATGCCCAGGGTGAAGAAGCCGAAGAAGCCCAGCACCATGAGGATGTAGAGCGCGGCCAGCTGGCTGTCGTCGCGGGCGGGAGCCCTGCGGGCCAGGCTGGACGCGTTGATGCCCTGTTGAACTAGCTCCCGCCACAGCGTGGTCAGATAGGGCATCACCACCGTGGAATTAGACAGGATCATCTGGGCTTCCAGGTTCCACTGCTGGACCGAGAACTTCCCAGGCAAACTTCCTGAAAGAAAGATGCAACCTGACATCAAAGATCCACCAGTCACACCCACGCCCGTGCACACATGGCACACGAGTCTCTAAAATCTCCGTGACAGAGATGAGCAGACATGCTCCTCAGGCCACAGCGTGTGTCCCTTGGGTCTGCACTGCGCCCTTTGTTGATGGATCAGTTGGTAAGTCAATTCCCTTTATTTCTTTTTCCCCCACACAGGTGACCACTGGCCTGAGTTCCATTAGTACGTTTTGTCGTAGATCCTGGATTGTGTATATGTGTGCATTTTAGTTGGCATAAATAGTATTGGGTTCCGTGTGTCAGTGGGTCTCTCTTTTCCTTCACCATTGTGTTTTTATGCATGCTCATGCTGCTCTATGTGAGTGTGGGTTCCCTTAAATTCAGCTATTGCACAGACTCTGTGAACACTCACTTCTCTGCTCACCACCCCAGAGATGGACACCTCTGTGACCACAAACTCCATAAACAAAGGAAAGACGAATGTCCTTACCCTTGTCCTCTTATGGGCCTGAAAAAAGTCACATTTCATACAACTAGATCCTGGAGACTGAATGACTCGTCAGACTGAGTTACTGTCATGGCGCCCTAGGGAGCAATGAGCAATGGGTGGCTGCTGAGGTTTGAAGTGTTACCCCCAAAGTCCCTCCTTTGGAAATCTGCTCCCCACTGCAACAGTGTTGAGAGGCAGGATGTTTAGGAAGTGGATGTCATGAAGGCAGAGCCAGAACTCATTTGTGGATTGAGGGGTCCTCTCTGGCAGGCTTGCTCTGTCCAACCAAGGGATGCCCTCCACCATGTTTAGGGACAGCACAAGGCCCTCACCACATACTGAGCTCATGCTGGCACCAGAACCTTCCCAGCCTGCAGGATCATGAGCTAAATAAACCTCTATTCTTTATACATTACTCTGTATGCAGTTCTAGCCCCATCCCGTGGAAGCCTTTGGAACGAGCTGTCAGAGTCCACTGAAGCTCCTCTCCAAGAGGCCGGTGGAGCAGCCTGTGCTGTCTGCCCTTCTCTGCCCACTGTCCTCCACTGGAAGGCTTAGCATGGCCGTGTAAGCCTTCCATTGACGCTGCACACCAATATGCCCGGGATGGCTGTCAACCTCAGAAGCCCAGGTCTAGGTCTGCAGAGTAGACCCAGAGCTCCATTTTCATAAAATTGGCTAATTTAAATATAAACACTGAAGCCAGCACCAGGTGAAGACATTTTGCCTCTTTCCAAGGCCCCTCTTGCTCTATCCATCCCTGAAATGTGGACGTACCTTAGAGTCCACTGGTCTTCTCAGTCCACTCTTTCCCTGGATGATCACACCCTCTCCTTCAGGTTCACTCACCTGACCTGGACCCTGGTCTCCCTTCTAGCCAAATCTCCAAAGACCCACCAGGGGCCAACCACATCCTGCCTCAGTAGGCCGAATGGCAATATTATCAACCCCCAAATCTGAGTCACCCTCATGGCAAATCTCATCATCTCAGTGACCAGGTCGAAGGCCTTCCTCAGCTCTGCACCTTCAGAGGAATGCCTCCTTGTTTGTGTGGACAGAGGCCTTAAATTCCAGGGGCTTCCCTTTGCTCTTCAGCTCCACTGTCACCATGGTGCCCAGACACCATGCCCTTGACCCCTGTGGATCCTGCAAACCTCCTTCATCTTTCTGTGCCTCAGCTCACATTGGCTCTCCTGAAATTGTGATACTCACGCTTGGCCTGTGAGACTCCTTCATGGTGCCCTCTCATGCTTTCCAATTCAGCTCTCCTTCCTGAAGCCTCCTCTGATGTATGGGGCTAGCTCAGCACCACCCCAGCACGCTCCTTCCCAACTGCATCGCGAAGAGGCTCTCTAGGCCCCTCACTCTGTCCCCCGCAAGATCTTTAGCCTGGTACCTGGCACATAGAACACAAGATCTGCCAGGAAAGTTGTTGAGTGGAAGCCACGGGAACTTAATACCTTTCCCTGAGTGGGGCCTGATTCCTTAAAACCCGCTTAAAATAGTTAATAGATGCCAAGGAGCTGGCTTCAGAGCATGAGCTAACTCCCTTTTCAAGAATGGAAATGATCTCCCACCCCAAACAACCCGAGAGCATGCACAGAGATGCAGAAAGAGCTGAGGCTTTGGGATGGCCCCTCCAGCCCCAGGTTTGGATCCTGGCCCTGCTACCTCCTGGCCACAGGATCCTGGATGGGTTCCTCAGGTGTGCCTTTCCCCCTTAGTAAAAGAGGAAGAAACATCACAGCTATCTGTGGGCTGCTGGATCATTGATACAGCATGATGACCCTACATTGGGCACAAAGTGTGACACTTTGTGGTCCCCAGTATGGGACTGTTTGTTTTTCTACCTCATTAAGAAATTACAGCCCAAGGATTTGGGGTTTGATGCTAGGCTTCCCCATGGCTGACCACTGCGGCTCTCTTCTTTATTTATGGAGAGACTGGTCTTGAATGAGAAGTGACGATGGCTTGTGACTTTCTGACTGCTAGGCTTCTGAGTTTGTGCACAGAGGCTTATTAGGGGTAGTACAGCTGTGTGGGCTTAGGAGACACCAGTCACTGATTCTTACACAAAGTAGATATTTATCTCTCGTCTGATAACAGATCCAAACTCGATGCTCCACAATTTCTTCTTAAATGACTTGGAGCCACATAAGACTGCATAGAGCCCTACTCCAGAAAAGAACAGGCCTTGAATTGATGATATGTTGTTATTTCCAAAAACCCAGAGTGACCACAATTGGCAAATAATTCTGCTACCAATTACTATTAGGAGGTTCTTATAGCTTAATGACCACATGGGAGTAGACTATGGCGGAGGACATTAAGAGCCCAAATGTTAATTGGTTTAGAACCAATAACTCCACACAGCAAATTAACTCAAGAGTAACTTCTGTATTTAATTCATACTGGTGGATTTACTGAGAAGACTCATTACTTAAAACCAGATGGAATTTTCTAGGGCCTGAGGAAGCAACCAGAAACATCTGCTTTGGAAATCTCCTGGACCTGGGCCTTATTCTAAGGTGGTAGGTTCAAGCTTCAATATGCTTTAGAAGATTGGGTTCAAATGCAGATTACTGGACTCCTCTGCTTCCAGAGTGTCAGGAGGTCCCGGACAGGGCCTGAGAATTTGCATTTCAAACACGTTCACGGGCAGTGGTGCTGTTGCTGGTCAGTGCTGGTCAGGAGACCATGCTTGGTATCCTACTGGAATCCCCTGTGGAACTCCAAGTGCTGCCTGGATCCCACCTCCAGAGACTTGAATGAGGTCCATCTGAATTCCTGCCAGGCAATGGGACTTTTTAAGACCATTCTGCTATGGTTTGAATGTGTCCCTTGGACACCCTAAGACAACGGTCTTAGAGGTGGGATCTTTAAGAAGTGATTGACTAGCATGGATTTATGCCTTATCTTGAGGGCAGGTTTCTAATAAAAGAATGAGTTTAAGACTCTGTCTGTCTCCCCATATCTATTTCTCTTTCTCATGCCCCACTTCCCTTCTGCCTCCCATCATGGGGTGCATAGAAAAAAGGCTCTCTGCCAAATGTGAATCCCTTGACCTTGGACTTCCCACTTCCAGAACTGAAAGAAACAAACCTCTATTCTTTATATATTACTCAGGCTCAGGTATTCTGTTATAAGAGCACAAAACAGACAAGTGATCCCTGTTTGCAGCCAAGACTAAGGGCCTCTGGGCTGTGGTGTGGCACCTTAGAAAATTGACCACTCAGTCTTTTGTGCTGCAGAGTACCTGGAAGAATCTTCTAAGAATGCAAAACGTGATTTCACTGCCTAATTTTTTTTAATCTCATTTGTTTTCCAGATCGTTCTTATTCTTGTGTACCTTTGATGTCTGAACTGAAGTTTCCTGAGAGAAATTCTGGCCTTCACTGTACCCCCATCTGCCCCCATCCTAATGCACACCGGTAACTTAAGTGATTATTAACCTGTCAGAGCTTTATGACAGACCAGAAACAACTACTTTTCAGAAAGCAACTCTGCAGTAAAATAAATAAATAAATAAATCTTTTCTTTCTTATATTTATCACATTGCTTTTGCTAAATGCCCTCTGTACCCCAAAGCCTGCAGGCTGAGTCACTGAGGTATTTGTGTAATGTGTCTTCAAATGAGCTGGGCAATGTCATCCTAACAGTCAGCATGGTGTAAATGACACAGAAGCCAATCTGCCTGCCATTAGGGAGAGCTTGTGTCTGATTCTCCAAGTTCACACTCCATATAATGTCAAAGCCATGGCCCTGGAATCAGACTGCTGCACTCAAATGAATCTGGAGAGTGACTAATCCAACAGTCTTATAAGGCAGGGCTCCATAGAGGAGAGAGCACTTGCCCAAGGTCATCTCTCTTATCAAAGATATGTGTGAAATCTAATATGTTGGGTCTTGATTCACATTTTATTTGTATAGAAAAAGGAGTACCTAAAACCTTGTAGAAAGGGAACAGACTAGTTAGGCTCAGAGTAACTGAGAAATCAGCCACTTTATCAGGTGAAATTGGATCTCACAATTGAGTATTCCCATGGGCAGACAGGGGAGGCCTGGATGTCAGAGCCAGATACCTAAATATGCCACCTGCAGTTGTCCCATGCCCACCCCTCCACACCCCAGCCCCAGCCCCCAGAGAGAACCATGGCTTGTGTAACTTGCACAGTGACTAAGGGGCTTCCCGCCCTTCCTGGTGGGAAGCAGTAGCAACAAGAGCCAGGGATGTCCAGCTCCATGCAAATCCAGCTGTATGCTCAGCCTGTGCTGAACATTCTCAAACTGGGTCTTGTTGGGTCCAGAAAGAGGCGAATTTCTACAAATTTCTGCATCTGCCTAGATTGGAGGTATGCATGGGCACAGCTCCAATCAAGCGAGTGCACTTTTGTTGTTATTGTTCCTTTTCTTAAAATCATGGGCCCAGAGCTGCTGGTGTGCTTGAG